TAGTTTGGCTCCTAGGTTCTTGGAAACTATACATACACTCAATTATATATTCCATTGTAAATACTTGCAATAAAAATAACTGAGAAAGTTTCCAGCATACTGGAATAAAGAACTACAGGATCCAGCAGAAGTAACGTCTGCTTGAGTGCTTGGCAGGGTAATAATATGGGCGTAATTGATTAGAACATTTCACTTAAAATGCCATATGGTGTGCTTGAGTGTGATATTGTTATGTTACAGAATTACATGCCTATGATTTTGTAATAAAAAATTCTGTAATTAAAAAAGCGACCCTTGTATATTAAAGGGTGTATAACTGCAATAAAATGGGGAATAATATAAATACCTACCTAAAATTATTGAAAGCAGTACATTGTTTTGGGATCGAATCTTGGCTAATCACCTAGTTCATGTCCTTGAGTGGGTTATTTACCTGCACCTCAGTTTATATGTATAGAAGAAATAATAATGGTTCCCAAAAGGATGTTCAAAAGGATTTTAAATGAGTTAAAACCTATGAAGCTCCTCAGATTGCCTTAACACCTGAGGAGGACTCAAAAAGGTGAGCAATTGGACAGTCTTTGCCAGGAGTTGCCATGGTTTCCTGCCCCGCAGTGCTTGAATGGAACCCGGCACTGAACCCGCCAGCCCAGTGAGCTGCTAGGTCCATCCTCCTGCCACCTCCTCACAGCGTCCTCAGACCACTCCGAGGTCCCTGCCACTGCTCCAGTGCCGCAGAGTCACCACCCTCAGCGGCCTGCCATGTTGACCACATCCACCTCATTGGTGCACCAGAACTACCACCAGGACTCAAAGGCCGCCATCGGCCGCCATCAACCCCCAGATCAACCTGGAGCTCTACGCTTCCTACCTCTGCCTGTCCGTGTCTTACTACTTTGACTACGATGATGTGGCTTTCAAGAACTTTGCCAAATATTTTCTTCACATATCTCATGAGGAGAGGGAACGTGCTGAGAAACTGATGAAGCCGCAGCTGCAGAACCAACGAGGTGGCTGAATCTTCCGTCCGGTTATCAAGAAACCAGACTGTGATGACTAGGAGAATGGGCTGAATGCAATAGAATGTGCATTGCACTTGGAAAAAATGTGAATCAGTCACTACTGGACTTGCACAAACTAGCAACTGAAAAAAATGACCCTCATTTATATGACTTCATTGAGACTCACTGCTTGAGTGAGCAGGTGAAATCCATCACAGAATTGGGTAATGACCTTGTAACCAAGTTGCACAGGTTGGGGGCCCCTGAATCCGGCGTGGCAGAGGATCTCTGACAAGCACATCTTGGGAGACAGTGAAGAGAGCTAAGCCTCGGGCTGGCTTCCCACAGCCACAGGGGACTTCCCTGGTCACCAAAGCAATGAGTGCTTGTTGGAGTTACCTTTCCCTTTTCTATAGCTTGTACAATATCATCCACTCATGTCCTTCATTTGTACCATTCTTCAAATAAAGTAATTTGGCACCCCCCACCCCCGCCACAAAATGTTAGCAGTTGTATTTATCACCACTATCATCATCATCATATACTTTGCACTCCAACATGAAAATTTTCAGTTTTCAGAATGATTATTTTTCTAGCCTTCTTTATTTGAGTACCTTGCATTGTTTTAATATACCCTTTGGTTATCAAAGGTTGAAAGAAACAATCTAAAAAACATCTGCTTCTGTAAAATTTCTGTTGAATGTATTGTTTATTTGATTTTATTGCTTTTTACAGTATGTATTGTAGGTTGTACAGAAAGTATTAGCAAAAGATAAGTGTCCATGACCACTATATTTAGAGCATCTACTGTGCTGTATTGCTAGAAAAATAGTGAAAAAGTAGTCCTTTTTCCTGTGAGTAGCTTGCAGTTTAATAATGTATTAATATTTTTTTAATTCCTTCTAGCATTTGAAACAACAACAAGAAGGCCTCAGCCACTTGATTAGCATCATAAAAGATGACCTAGAAGATATAAAATTAGTAGAACATGGATTGAATGAAACTATCCACATCAGAGGCGGTGTCTTTAGTTGACAGATCACAAACTTGTGATAGAGGTTTGTGAAATGTGTCTTGCTACATCAGGCCTTCCCTAAGAATGAAACTGACCACATGGAGAAAAAAAGAAAGAAAATCCTCTCCTGGCTTGGTGTTTGAGAAGGTTACTGACAAATTATTGTTCTTCAGATTTTAAATGTCACTTCACAGCTCTTCAAAGACAGCCTTTGAAAGATTTATATCTAAAAGCTGTTACTTACTTTGAGAAGTACATAACTACCAACAATGTAATGTAATGTAAAAATGTTTTACATTTTTACAACAGCATTTTTCTGAAAAATAATCAATGTTTAATGATTATTCTCCATTGAGCCTGTACTCTGCTTTCCATAGCAAGTAAATATGCAATATCTACTTTGCACATAAAATGTATGACTACTTGGCTGTTGGGGATTTGTACTTCAGAATATAAATGTACATCAGTTTTTATATTTGTGAATTCATTTGTGGGAGGAGTAAAGAAAATCCAAGAGTATTTAATGATTAATGTGGTTTTCTTTTCATTCTATAAAGATTTAAAATTATATTTTTATATTATTTTACTTATTTGGAATTTACAGAATGCACCTAAGCAATTAGGATATAACAAAATTACATTTTATCATTTTTGCCAACTTTTGTTTTTTAAACCTTTTTATTTCTGAAGATGAAAACAAATAAATTCTTGAGTGTAATTACTTTTATATAATTCTGTCTGGTGCTTTATTTGGCTCTGGGAGAATGACCATTCATGTCTATCACAATTTAAAATTTTAGTCTTTCCTGGTTTTAAAGTCTGATTTTTCCCTCCTAAGGAAAATATACCAGTGCTGTTTATTTGACTTGGCAAATAAAACCTCAGATATCGTCTAGGATGGAGAATTTCCTAATATACCATTAATACCTAAAACATCAGAAAACCTGAATTAGACATGGTAATGTGAAATAGTCTTTCACAAACATAATTTTACACAATTTTTTTTTTACTACAAATTTCATACCTGGGCTGCATCTTGTTCGTCCCTTTAACTCTGCATTTCTGCATGATGCTTTGGCATGAATCTTGCTGCTGTGTTTATTACGGGGGTTGCAAGGAGTGTGTGTCCCCTGAGGCTGTCCCCTGAGATCCCATTGGAAGAATTTCTGCCCAGCCACAGACTAGGTAACAGTTGTGTAGGAGACTGGGACTTTAAAACTGATTGTTTTATTTCCAAGATAACTGCTAGAAGTCTGCGGCCACTTTTGCTAAGTTTATGGCATGCAAACTTGTTATACTACTCTGTATACTACTCTCTTTCACCATACTTTGCTACTTGTTACAATTCCAACAATGCTGGGGGAGAAATTCTCTTTGGACCAGAAAGAAGTAGGCACTTCCATCTTCCTCAGCCACACAGGCACCTGTGGAAGGTATCTGTCCCTCTGTGCCCCCTCTTACTGTAGGAAGAGTTGTTCATCTAACTGATAAGAATTGTTATTCAAAAACAAGACACATTCCATGAAGAACAAATCACACACCATGGTCACTCCTCTAACCTTTCATTTTTTGTGTCCTGATATTGTTAGTTTCCTAATTTCACAAGATAAATACCCTTCGATAGAGCCCAATAGGCCTAAGTTTTGATCCCACTGGTGACTTAACTGCATATGCAACACAGATCTGTGGCCCTTGTTCATGTAGCTGGTTAGGACTGATCTGTACTACTAATGTGTCGCAGGCAAGTGAGGAACCAAGTTCTCAATTTGGGTGAGGAAGAAGAGACAAGACCCACTTTTGCCTCAGCATGAAGTTGAATTCTCTAGAGCAATTTATAGAAGTTCTATGTTTAGTCTTCAACTAACTAATGGTTCTTGTGGATAGTCCACTCAAATGAAGAGAAGTAAATGGTGGAATTAAAGCACACTAAACCCCCTAATACTTAAGATTTTATGTAGTTTTTCTGTAGCTTTGAAAATGGTCTTAAATCCTTTTTGAAGCATCAGCAAAGTGTAAGCAACTGTCAGTTACCAAACCCCATGCTTATATCAGTCTCTATTCAACCACCGTAATACAATACCTTGGGGAAAATGTACTATACTATATAACCTCATTTTCCCTCGCTTCCTTAGCATACATACAGAGTACTGCCTACCTTCCTGGATTAACATGAGATTCAAGTTAGGAGTTAAGTATGTGAAACATTGGTAAACTTGTGTTTTCAAGAATATAAAGTGTTTGTATATTGTGGGATGATAACTATTTGAAGTCAAAGTCTCATCCTTTAAAGATAAGTAGACCATCTTGAAAATTCTAATTCAGTTTTGCAACAGCATGATGGAACTAGAGAGTATTATACTAAGGGAAATAAGAGAAAGACATACCATGTGATTTCACTTATATGTAGGATCTGAACAAAATAGAAACAGACTCACAGAGAACAGGCTACTGGCTAACAGAGGAGAGGGGGTCTGGGGGAGTAGGTGGAAAAGGTGAAAGCATTAAGAACTAGTTGGTAGGTACAGAATAGGGATGTAAATTACAGCATAAGGAATATATTCAATAATTTATTAACTACAAGGGGCCACGGGGGTACTTGAAATATGAGAGACCACAAGTATACAATTGTTTAACCATTATGCTGTACAGTTGTACACCTGAAACTGATATACAGAATAATATTGAATGTACTTGTAAACTGTAATTAAAACATAAGTCCTCCCAAAAATTGTAATTCAGGAGTTAATTTCATGTTAAGTACTAACACTGGATATTTTAGTATTGGCATTCTACTGAAATATCTAATAATCTTAAAGTCTTTTATTAAAGTCAGAGAGAGGTTTTTTTGCGGTCATAAAATTAATACACAAGTGAAAATGACTCTGTAACATAACGATGAACTTTCTGAATTTGTAAACTGAATAACATACACAGTTCTCATTTTATCAACTGACTTTGGCCAACAAGAGAAAAATATAACAGTCTTTTTGATCATTTCCTGTGGAATCCACATAGTGTATTTCAACTAATAAGGAATATATCAGACTACAGAGCAACAAAGAGATTTATAGCAGAAGCACTGATTAAAATAATGAATGTCCCAAACAGTGGAAGGAGCATTTTGCCAGAGGATGCAGAGGGATGGGTTTTGGGACCTGGAACTGGAACTGGAGCTGGAGCTGTCAATGAGAACACACAAATGATTGATGTGTCATTTTTAACATCAAGTTCATCCACCTATACCATATATGCCGAATATGTAGCCATTCAAGTTGAGTTAGAAACTTACCTGAAATACTTCTAACCAGGAACAATTTTCAAATAAATATCACTCATTACAGATTTCAAGCCATATTTTCATATACAGGGTGGAGCAAAGGTAGGTTTACAGTTGTACATGTGGAAAACAATACAATAATAATACAAAAATAAACTGTCATGTACTCAACTGTAAACCTACTTTTGCACCACCCTATATATCATTAGAGTATGCTGATCTAGGTTTTTATCTGGGATTCCACAGGCTTTTTAGTATCTATGTAGACAAGATTTTGTTTAAGTTTCCAAATTCTTGGCAATTTTTTGCATATATAGGCAAGGTAAGGTTAATTTTGTATCTCTTCTATTTCAAGTAAAGTGTATTTCATATGCATATACTCACAGCTAATAATATACAAGTGAACACAGCTCTATTTTTAAACACTTAAGTCCTGCAAGCTCATTAACAATTTTAATTTTTTTAAGTTCTGGCCAAGATGGAGGTTATGCTTCACCTCCTCACACAACCAAAAGGCAGATAACAACCAATTTAAAGATAAAAAAACGGAACTGCCAGAAGATCAAACTGTATGGAAGTCCAACAACCAAGAAGTTAAAGAGGAAACATTCATCCAGACCAGCAGGAGGGGCAGAGACGGGCAGCTGGCAGGAGAGGACATGCATGGAGGCCACAGCTGGCAGACTAGGCAGTCCCACATTCACATGCAGATAAACTGGGAAGAACAACCGGGGAAGGAGACAGACTGCGCAACCCAGGGTTCCAGCACCAGGTAAATGAAACCTCAGAACCACTGGCTATAAAAATCTGCAGGGGTTGCAGCTGTAGAAAAAACTTCCCAGTCTCTCAGGAGAGTCTGCTGGAGAGGTCCATGGGGTCCTAGACCATACACAAGCCCACCCGCCCAGGAATCAGCACCAGGGCAGCACCTGGAAGGGCGCCATTTGCCTGTGGGCAGTGGGGAAAGTGACTGAAAGTGGGGCAAGAGCCAAGCAAGTGGCATTCTTCCCTCTCTGACCCCTCATAACCTCTCACTGTAAACCTCCATGGCAGTTGTGGGGGCGGAAGAAACTGCCAGTCTCTCAGGAGAGTCCTTTTGAGGAGTCCATGGGGTCCTAGAACATACAGAAGACCACCCACTCGGGGAATGAGCACCAGGGCACCAACTGGAAGGGTGTCAGTCACTTGCGGGAAGCAGGGGAAGTGACTGAAAGTGGGGTGAGAGCCGAGCAAGTAGCATTGTTCCCTCTCTAACCCTCCTCCCACAGAGTGCCACAAAGTGTGTTGCCCCGCCCTGGCGAATACCTAAAACTCTGCCTCTTACAACATAACAGGTGCACCAAGGCAAAGAAAAATGGCCCAAGGGAAAGAACAGATTAAAACTCCAGAAAAGAAACTAAGCAATGAGGAGACAGCCAACCTATCAGATGCTGAGTTCAAAACACTGGCAATCAGGATCCTCACACAAATGACTGAGTACAGATGCAAAATAAAGGAAGAAGTGAAAGCTATACAAAGTGAAATAAAAAATATCAAGCGAACCAAATGTTAAGAGAAGGAAACTGGGATTCAAATCAATGATTTGGAACAAAAGGAAGAAATCAACATTCAGCTGGAACAGAATGAAGAAACAAGAATTCAAAAAAATTCTTTTTGAGAATTTTTTGAAGAGAGGGTTAAGAACCTCTGGGACAATTTTAAACGTTTCAACGTCCAAATCATAGGGGTTCCAGAAATGAGAAGAGGAAGCGCAAGAAATTGAAAACTTAATGGAAAAAAATAATGAAAGACAATTTCTCCAGTCTGGCAAAGGAAATAGACATGTAAGTCCAGGAAGCTCAGAGAATCCCAAAGAAATGGGGGCCAAAGAGGACCACACCAAGACACATAGTAATTAAAATGACAAATATTAAATATAAAGAGAAAATTTTAAAAGCAGCAAGAGAAAAGTTACCTACAAAAGAGTTTCCATAAGACTATCAGCTGATTTCTCAAACATTGCAAGCAAGAGGGGCTGGAAAGAAGTATTCAAAGTCATGAAAAGCAAGGACCCACATCCAAGATTACTCTACCCAGCAAAGCCATCATTTAGAATGGAAGGGCAGATAAAGTGTTTCCCAGATAAGGTGAAGTTAAAGGAGTTCATCATCACCAAGCCTGTATTATATGATATGTTAAAAGGACTTATCTAGGAAAGAGAAGATCAAAACTATGAACAGTGAAATGACAACAAACTCACAACTATCAATAGGTGAACCTTAAAAAAAAACTGAGCAAACAACTAGAATAGGAACAGAATCATAGAAAAGCAGATCATATGGAGGGTTATCAGCAGGAAGGAGGAAGGGGGTAAGTGGGGGAATAGGTACAGGGAATAAGAAGTATAATTGGTAGGTACAAAATAGACAGGGGGAGGTTAAGAGTAATATAGGAAATGGAGAAGCCAAAAAACTTATATGTACAACCCATGGATATGAACTAACAGGGTGGGAATGCTGGAGGAAATGGGGGTACTGGGCAGAGGATGATAAAGGGGAGAAAAAAATGGGACAACTGTAATAGCATAATCAATAAAATATACTTCAAATTAAAAAAAAATTTCCCTCATACACAGAATTTTCAGCTCTGGAGAAAACTGCTTCCCTTTCCCTTGAACTAGTGGAGAGGAACAGTGGAGCCCATCCATCTCAGCATCTGTTTCACACTGCCCTTAATTCAGCTACCTGGCTCACACTGTACAAGGGAGGGTTGGCTGGAAATATCCAAATGGGGTCACCACTCAGGTTTCATAAGTGAGGCCAAGAGAAATAGCCAGGAAACTTTGTAAAAGGCTTCAACTCATTTTGTTAATTTACTTTTCTGTAATCACAAACATGCAGTTACATGAATACAGATGGGGAAGCAGACAGGCAGATGTACTCATGCATTAGTTGGTTACTATAGAGCAGTGGTTCTCAAGGAGGCAGGCAGTGTTGCCCTGTAAGAGACAGATGGAAATTTGTCAGGGTATTTTTTTTTTTTTTTTTGTGACAAGGGTGGGGTGGAAGTAGAGGGCTAGTTTTGCACCATGAAAAATCAACCCACTTCCACACAAATTACAAATGCACTGCTAGACATAGACCTAACTTAAAAACCTATTTATAGTGCTCAACCTAGAACTTAAATCAGTTTTATATATAAACAAAATATTTTTAGATAGTTTTAATAAACATTAGTTTCTATCTGATACCCATTGTATTTCTTCACTCTCGTTTTCTTATACTCACATAGAGTAGCTTCCAGGCTTCTCTTAGGTACACATTTATCCGCATAAGCAAATACAATCATCTGTCTCCTACATTGTCTTCTAGTATAATCTAGGCATTTACATATTAAAATGTATGGAATTTTGTTATAAATTATAATTAGGATATTATATTTTTATGGTACAGGTAGGTCTTCTTACCTATGAATCTTATTTTAGGATAGTATAAGGGCTTTATATTTGCTCTAAACATAGTTTCTACAACACAGTAGAAAAAACCTATACAAGAAACAGTCAAGTTGCCTCCGCCATGCACACACATATAAGCATTTGGGCATGACATTATATTCTGTTATGATGCCTTAGATTCTTGCAACTTTGTTCCTTTAAGAAAAAATAAATTTCTCACTTTTTCTATATTGCAGATCAAACATTCATCAGCTAAAAGAAAAGGAGATATTTCTTACTCAGATTGTTGATATCTTCTTGACTTTTATATTCTAAAATATAAATAGATTTTGAGTTAGTTTCACTGTACACCTATTTATCCAGAAGAGAAAAATATGTTTAAATGATTAAGAAAACTTAGTTATTTCTGGGAGTGGGCCTTAGGAGCAGGGTATTAGGTTTAGAGGTACATGTTAGGTTGGGGGAAAGGTTTAATTGTTACTCAATTGTACTCCTTGGATATTTTTGTTTTTAACTTTTTAAAACCCTCACCTGAGGATATGGTAATTGATTTTATAGAGAGGAAAGAAGGTGGGGGAGACACAGAGAAAAACATCGATCTGTTCCCTCCATATGTGCCCCAACCAGGGAGCAAACCCACAACCCGGGTACGTGTCCTAACCATGTACCCAGACCCGGGATTGAACCTGCAGTCTTTTGCTGTATGGGACAACACTCCAACTAACTGAGCTACCCAGCCAGGGCTGCACTCTTTGTATTTATATTTTTATAATGTATGTGCTTCCATTAAAAGAATGATTAAAATTTTGATTACAAAAAAGTGCTCTTTTTACATGTTGAATTTAGATTCCCAAATATATTAATACCTACCATTTATTGAGTGCTTACTACATGTCATTCATTGTGCAAATGCTTTATGTACATTGTCACCTTTATTTCTTACAGCCCTAGAAGGTAGGTATAGTTATCCATATTATATAGATTTTCCTCAAAACTTACATAAAAATCAGATCAGAGATAATCAGTGGTAGCAGTGTCTGATTTCAAAGCCTCTGTTCCCATTTACTATGCTATACTACATCCAAGTGTGTGCCCAGCACTGAAATATTAATAATATTGCCATATTTTGATGGCTTGGAAGCCAAATACCAGTTCTAGTAGTGCAGGATAGATGAGTATTTTTTCTAACTAAATCTGGGTGAAAGACAAATGTTGTGTAACAGAAAGTGAACAAAACTTGAAAAGTTTGAGTGCTGGTTGTCTCTAGCCTCTTCCAGGTTCCTTAACCTTCCCATGTTCCATGTCCTCATCTCATTTCAGGGGAAATGGCAAAAAACAGTATTTATCTTGGAATAAATGAGATTTAGTGTAAATGTTTTGACCACAAAACAAAAACAAAAAATAAAAAAACAAAAACGTGCACTATGCACAGCTTCCCAGGAGAGGGCACGATACAGAACAGTCCCTGCAGAGCCGGTGTGTTGGAGGACGTGGAGAGCGTTGTGAGAAGCGAGGAATGGCTGGTCCCATGCTGTGCAGTTCTCATACACACCTCTTTGATGATGCTATTCCTCTGACTACAGATTCCCTCACAGCAGCCAGCTCAGCCTGCGGAGCCTCTTGCCCTGTTCTGAAATAGGCACAGCTGGAAGCCAGCTATTCCAGTTTAGGCCAAGTACCTTTTCCTTTGCTTGCCCCAGAGAGTCATGATAGCAGCTCACACTGAAGGTTCTCAACATTTCCCCTGCCCACTTGCAGACTGGGATGTCAGAAGCTTTACAGCCCCGGTGTCCTCCCCAGACTCCTTAAGACTGAGCCAACTGAATGATAATGGTAAAGGACTCAGAACCTCACGGTGCCTCCTCCCCAAATAAAAAAATTATCACCAGGGTTTTCGTCCAGTTGTAACCACTTCTACTCCTAAATAAGATATTTTCAGATGATAATAAAGACGGCTACTACTTACTATTATTTTAAACTACTCTTCATTTGCCAGCACTTTATCTCTTTAGGATTTTAATCATTCCTACAAGACAGAAGTTTTCTTCATTGTACAGATGTGGGAGGAGAGGCACAGAAAAGTAAGTAACTTACAAAAAATTACCCAGAAGAGACTTCTGGTCAAGATGACAGCATAGGTAGATGTGGCGCTCAAAATTCTCCTGTAACCACATCAAAACTGCAACTAAAGTATAGAACAACCATCATTCGGAACTGTCTGAAATCTGACTGAATGGAAGTCCCACAACTAGGGATTTAAAGAAGTCACATCAAGACTGGTAGAAGGTGCAGAGACATGGAATGGCTGGTCCCACACCCATGTGTGGCAGTTTAAAATTGGGAGGGATCTCTCAGCTGTTCATGTCCCTCCATAAGGAGCAAGGGATCCCAACCTCACACCAGGCCTCCCAGCCCAGGGTTTCAGAGCCAGGAAGAGAAGTCACAATAAGGTCTGTTGCCATAACCAGCAGAATTGTGGCTGAGCGAGCAGGGGGGCTTCTGGAGTCCGAGGTGTTCCTCTTAAAGGGCCCATGCAGGGACTTACTCTGACTCACTCCCTCTGAGCCTCACTGCTGGATCAGCAGCTTGATAGGAACCAGAGATACAGGGGGAGGAACTGAATTGTCTGGCATCAGGGCAAGAGCCGGCAGGGGAGCTTTCTGCCAGACAAAAGTTCTGGCAGATGCCACTGTTCCTTTTCTGAGACCGTCCACCTGTAGAGCCAACAGGAAGGCACCCTATCTGGGTCTCCATCAACCTGGCTATCATTGTCCATCGTGCCCCAGGGATTCCCTGAGACCCCACCCCAAACAAGCCATTTCCATGGTCTTTTCCAGACAACTGGCCTCTCTTGCCTCATGCTTAGAACTCTCCTAAAATCTCCCAAACAAGAAGCAGCTGCCTTTGTATACCCCTTGCCTCTTGCTAAGTGGCCCCAGGCTTGGCACTAGTGGCAGTTGACCTTGGTTCACGGCATGGCCTCTCCTGGGCACCTCCACGTCCAGCACAAGTAGCAGCCACCTGCAGATCACTCTATAGCTCATGCCAGGTGGCCCAGGCAGGGCGCAGGTGGTGGCTGACCTTGTAACTCCCGGGAGGCCCCAGAACCAGTGCACCAAGAAGACAGCTTCAGACCATGCCAGGTTACAACCCTATTACACCTCCGTGAGTGACACACTCAAAGGGCAGACTTGGTGAACACCAAAACCCGACTGAACTAAGCCCTACTCTGTAGGGTTGACTCCCGTACAGCAGCTCCTCCACTATAGTTACAGCCTGTCCTTGAAGCTGATTGGCCTGCAGGTCAATCCCTCCCGGTGATGCCAATACCAATCAAGGCTCAACTACAACAGGACAGCGGCACACCTGGAGCACCTGGCTTGGGTCAATGGGGAAGCTGCGCCACAGGCCCTGCAGGATACCTACTAAACAGGGCTCCTCTACCAAGTCCAGGAGCCGTAGCAGCTGTACTTAATACATAGAAACAAGCATAGAGAAGCAGTCAAAATGCTAAGACAAAGTTCCCAAATGGAAGAAGAGATCTCCAGAGAAAGAACTAAATGTAGACAAATTACTGGACACAGAGGTCAAAATGATGGTTACAAGGATGCTCAAGGAATTTTGAACTTCAACAACATGAAAAAGGACATAGAAACCATAAAAAAGGATGAGTCAGAAATAAAGGATACACTACCTGAAATGAAGAATAATTTACAGGGAATCAACAGTAGAGTAGGTGATGCCAAAAATCAAATCAGCTTTTTGGAATTTAAGGAAGTAAAAACCACCCAATTAGAACAGCAAAAAGAAAAAAAATCCCTCCAAGTGAGCATAGTGTAAGAAGCCTCTGGAACACCTTCAAGCGTACTGACATTCACATCATGGGGCTGTCAGAAGGAAAAGAGAGAGCGCAAGAAATTGAAAACCTATTTGAAAAAATGACAGAAAACTCTCCTATCTTGGTGAAGGAAATAGACATGTAAGTCCAGGAAGCACAGACAGTCCTAAACAGGATGACCCTAAAGAGGCCCTCACTAAGACTCATCATAATTAAAATGCCAAAGGTTAGAGACAAAGAGAAAATCCTAAAAGCAGCAAGGAAAAAATAATGACCTATAAGGGGTAGGTAAGACTCCCATAAGACTGTCAGCTGATTTCTCAACAGAAATTTTGCAGGCCAGAGAGGACTGGCAAGAAGTATTCAAAGTGATGAAAAGCAAGAACCTACAAGCAAGATTACTCTACACAGCAAGGCTATCACTTAGAATGGAAGGACATATAAAGAGCTTCTCAGACACAAAAAGGTAAAGGAGTTCATCACCACTAAACCAGTATTATATGAAATGTTCAAGGGTCTTTAAGAAGACGAAGAAGAAAAAAGATTAAAAAAATGAACAATAAGATGGCAATAGATACATATCTATCAAAAATTGAACCTAAAAATCAAAATAAACAAACAACAGAACATATACAGAGAACATTTTGACAATTGCCAGATGAGAGGGGGGTTTGGGAGTGCTGGGTCAAAAAAGTAAAGTGATTAAGAAGTACAAATTTGTTGTTACAGAATAGCCACGAGGTTGTAAAGTACAGCATAAGGACTATATAGGCAATAATATTCTAATAACTATGTATGGTGCCAGGTGAGTAGGAGATTTAGCGGGATGATCACCTAGTAAGTTATATAATGTCTAAACATTGGGGTGTATACCTGAAACTAATAGAATATTGTATGTTAACTGCAACTGAAAAATAAAAAGTCATTTAAATAAACAACAAAACCCACAAAGCTCCCCAAAAGAAAATGACAGAAGAGAGACTTCATGGAGCTGGGATCTCTCTGTCTAGACAGTCCATGTCCATCCCCACACCTGCTCGGAAGCTGGGCCTAGTAAGGTGCCTCTGAGAGCGCTGTGCTCCTTAGGTCCAGTGAGCGAAAGAGGTGTGTACACACGCAAGGTGTCTCATCAGTGTTGTTAGAGGTTCACTCTTAAACTGTGGCCCAATTAGTCTGACAGTGTAATCCGGGTGAATATGAAAGAGCAGCTGGGCCCTCTCTCTGGGCCTGGGTTCGTGCTTTGGGTAATTAACTGCGAACATGCTGTTTCCGTGCACAGCAGGAAGTTTCCACAGACAGCCATGTTAGGAAAGGCAAGGGCACTGTGTGCATGGATGCAATTTAGTGGATGCCAAAAATCTATTTTTTTAAACAGATGATTATTCCTTAATAACAAAACCTACCAACAATTATTATTAAAACACTACATGAACTCAGGAGACAGGATTTAAGTGCTGGATAGGGGCTTGCACCCTGAGAGTTTGTATTTTTACGGTCCTTACAGATATCCCCATAGGTTAAACACGGTAAGCGTTAGCCATGTTTGAAAGATGACAGTGCAGAGTCGTACAGAAGTGTTATTACCATCCACAGCTCTCTGGTAGTGTTATGCCCACTTAGTTTATTTACTTCTTGTCTCAGGAAAAATTAAGTTTGAGAGCTTTTATTTCTTCCTCCCCTGTAAGCCTATGTTCTGAGGCCCCTCTGAGGAACTTGACAGGAGTCACTGTTCATTTTCTCTGGCCATAGAAGGTCAAGGTTCCTAATGGCTTTGCCCTCAGTGACAGCCTCATACTTGTTAAATAACCATGAAGTAGTTATATCATAAAGGTAGGTTAAATCTGCCATGGTAAATATACTGAAAAAATATACTTGAGGAACTGCACGTCTTAAGGAATATGTACTTGGTTGCAAGTTAAGAGACTTGGGCCCTTCACTCACTTATGTGACCTTGTGCAAAGCACTTGAGCTCCCCTGCATGTCTAATGTTGACAGTCATGTCTATACCCCATCCCCAAATTGGCACCTTCCTCTCTGGCATGCCTACCATTGCTTACCAGGTAATGGAAAAGGTTCTGGAACTTTCATTCCTAAATAAGAAAGAAGTTTTCAATGACTAGCAGTTTGCTCCAGTGAGTACAATTTCCAAACTCTTGTTCGATGAGGTCAAGTGATAGAAGTGCCAAAAGTCCTACTACATTGTAGTTTCTGGCTTTTTATTGACAAGTTCTGGCTACATGAGCCCTCACAGTGCAAAGCCACACCAAACTTAGAGGAGCCTTCTGCCATGGAACCTCACTAAGTCTCTCTCTATGCCAGAAGAATATTACGTTTTGTTACCTGGAGATCCTAGATACTGCGATGGCAGCCAAAAGCTAACAGCCAGCTTTTGCATGAAGTTGAAGTTTCTATTGAGACTTTAGCTGTAGAACCTGAAAGGTGCTAGTCTACATGCCTTCAGGTCCCAGCAGCCTTGCCCTTCAGCGATGCCCCCAGTAGAGCTAACTTTCCTAGTCCAGAATCAGGAGCAAACGTACTTTCTTTACTCTCTTCCCTAGCTAAGTCTCTATGAATGACTGGCAGGAAGCAGTAAAGGAAATAGCAATAAATAACAATTGCTTCATAGCAATATTCTCTTTAATGCCAAGGGAAATCCTTCTCACCTCATACTTGGGCCCAAAGAGTGAACAGAAATTTGTCTTACCAGGTGTTTGGATGGGTTCATAGCTCTTCATGCCTAAAGACAGAAATGATTATTGGTTGGTATTAATCAATTACCTTGTATTGCTAATGTTTCCTTTTGTCTGTACCTCCCCACCCCAATTTCCAACCCTTTAAAAAAAGGGAAAAGGAAAGAGTAACAACACCCAGGGTGGCTCAGTTGGTTGGATGTCATACCACAAACTGAGTGGTCACGAGTTCTATTTCCTTTCAGGGCACACACCTGGGTTGTGGGTTAGGTCCCCAGTCAGGGCATGTACAAGAGGCAGCCAAGTGGTCAATCAATATTTCTGTCTCACATCAATGTTTCTTTCCCTCTTTCTCCCTCCCATCCCCTCCCTCTCTAGAATCAATAAAAGAAAAAAAAATAAGAAAACGGTAACAAAAAAACCTCCTTTTCCATGGGTCTTCATTCTCTAATTGGACAAACCCAAATTCCTTAGCCTGGACTTCAAGAACTTCCATGATCTGGCCAGCATATCCCCAGCCTTATCTTCGTAAGGCAGGCCAAGTACAATGGCTTTTAAATGAAACAGTACTGGGTATAAGGCTCTGCTTCGTTTGGTCTATTGTCACTATAGTGATCAGCTCTATGATTACCCACCTTCTTAATCCCTCTGATCTTCAATTACTTATCTATGCAAAAGAGATACCTTGAAGGTTTGTACTAAGTGATGATTAAAAGAAACATCATAAAAGTGCTTAGTACACAGCATAAAACATAGTAGCACTCAATAAATGAAATCCTTCTGTTCAGGCTTAACCCATTCCTCAAACTCTCCACATCCAGTAATGCCCTTAGCCCAAGGAGTCCTCCTGTCTCCTAACCTCGCAGCCAGTCTCAGGAAGTAAATAGAAAGATTACTTACCAGGTGAGACAGTGGGCTCCTGGCCTTTCATTCCTAAAGATGAGAATAGGAACTATTTAGTGAAAAATGCACTGGGCTTGGAAATTAATTTAAACTTACATTCATATGGCTATTTGTATAGTGGAAAATCCTTAAAGCTTTGAGAGATGGTGGGGGACAGAGTAGAAAAGAGATTTAACCCATCAAAGCCTGACTGATTTCTGGAGAGAACAATAGCCAGTGACCCAGGATCTCTCCTAGATTAAGCAAATCAGCTCCTGTCAATTTTTTTTTTTTAAATATTTAGTCCAAAGACTCCAATCTACATTTGTTATGATATATTTTTTAAAAATAAAATGTCTTGATTATATAAGTAATACCTTATAATTACAGATAATTTGGAAAAACACAGGAAATTATTAAAAATTACTCTTAATCCCAAATCTCAGAGCTACTGTTTCTTAACATTTCTGGTATATTTCCTTTCAATCTCTTTGCTGTGTATACATAAAGGTGCATATACATTTTTGGCATATTTTCCAGTGTTATTGAGATGTAATCAACATATGCATTATATAAGTTTAAGGTATTCAGCATAATGGCTTAACTAACATATATTGTGCATTGATTACCACAATAAGCTTAGTTAAAATCTGTCATCTCATATAGATACCAAAAAAAAAAAAAAGGGAAGAAAGCCGCTTTTTCTTGTGATGAGAACTTTTAGGATCTATTCTCTTAGCAATTTTCAAATACACCATACAGCACTGTTAACTATAGTCACCATGTTGTACATGAAATCCCCAGTACTTATTTCTCTTCTAACTGGAAGCTTGTTCTTTTTCACATTTTAAAATAAAATTGATATTTTACTCTAATTTTTATTTTAATGCTAATTTTTATCCTATTTGCCACTGTATATACGAGGTCTGTTTGGAAAAAGTCCAACCATTGTTAATGTAACAGGAACACTTTGTGCGCCATTGATATAACCTGGCAGCCAAGGAGACTGGACTGGAATGCGCATGCGTGAACAATGACTTCACTGTACTCATCAGTGGGAGTGGTAGATGCCATTGAGTGAGCACGTGTGCTGTGTGGCCGTCCCATTCAAAATGACTGAGCAAGCAGAGCAATGAATCCGCATCAATTTTGAGTTAAGCTTGAACATTTCTCCACAGAAACTATTTGGATCATTCAGAAGGCTGCAGCTATGGGCAACTGGTGACTGGCAGCTTCATCATGACAACGCAGCCACTCATGTACTACATCTCGTGCAGAGTTTCTGGCAAAACGTCAAATCACCCAGGTGACTCAGTTCCCCTACAGCCCAGATTTGGTGCCCCACAACTTCTGGCTTTCCCCCAAAACTAAAACTGCCTTTGAAAGGGAAGAGATTTCAGACTATCAAAGAGTTTCAGGAAAACACAATGGGGCAGCTGATGGCAACGGGAACTGTGTGAAGTCCCAAGATGCCTACTTTGAAGAGGACTGAGGCTCATTGTCTTATGTACAATGTTTCTTGTATCTTGTATCTTTTTCAGTAAATGTCCCTATTTTCTTTTTTTTGTATTACATGGCTGGATATCTTCTAGACAGAGCTTGTAAGTACTTTCTCATATACTTAAATACTTTTCAAAAATGATTTTTAAATTTAGTGTTTCATAATATAGGTATAATTTTATTTACTACCCACCTGTTGGACACTAAGGTTATTTATAAATTTTGCCTAACCTAACACTATGTAAATATTTTTGTACATATTTTATGCGCAAATCTTAATGGTTATTTCCTTAGGACAAATATCTAAAAGTGTTATAACTAGGTTAAAAGGTATGAACAATTCTAAAAGCTAGTAATACATACTATCAAAATGTCTTCCAGAAAGGTTCCAATTTCTAATCTCACCAGTAATTTAAGAGAGTGTTCCTATCCTAACACCCTTGAGGACATTTGAATGTCATTTTTTTAAAAAAGGCAAAAACTTGGGAATATACTAAATAATCAAATAGGTATAGCAAAAAGCACTTGTTAGATTGTTGGAAGCAGAAATAAATATACAAAATCATAATTTTTAATTTAGAAAAAAAGAATGCCATTGTTTTTAGTGTCCCTGCCCAACACCCTAGGTCACAACAGTTTGTGCAATAATTAGCCAAACCTTTCTCTCTCCATGTAACTGCTAGCATAAAGCAGAAAATATGTTCTCTAGAACTAGTTCCTCAACTTCTCTACTGCGGTGATCCTAAGACTGTTAGATAAGAAACACACAGAGAGCTGCTGTGTCACTTTTATAGAGAAGTCTATCCGAAACTCAGGAGGGTCTCTGATACACCAAACTAGTAAGCTAAAGTAGTTCTTCTTTCTTCCCACTGTTCCCTACCATGCCATGCCCACCAGATCCCACCCCTAAGAGAGCTGTCTTGTAAATATAAGGCCCAGAATTTATGAAAATGTCTTACCAGGGTCTTCAAGTTTCTGGTTTTTATCACCTAAGTTACAAAAAGAAACTTTCCATGTTAACGATAGAATAAAATCACTGGAAGTTACTATAGTTACAGCAAAACTCTTTTCAGGTAATAGGACCATCAAGAACCATTTGGTACATCCAGTAAAGTAATGCTACTAAATTTAAGTGTCAGCCAGAGTCTAAATATGTCTTGGCTAATTGGGTTGGAACCTTCCTCTGGCAGCTCAAGAAAAACCATCACATATAACAAGTCTCCTGGGGGATCTCAATGAGGTAGAAAAATGTCTGTCTTGAAGAGTTAGCTGAGGTCCCCGTGAAGTGACCAGTAAAACTTTTGCCTGCAATGAGCCCATAAGAAGTGTTACCAAGCAAGTCCTCTGCAGCATGAAATGCTTCACATAAGGACAGGAAATTATCTTCCAAACATCAAGTAAATTGCATACTTAAGGAAAGGCCAGATACCTCTCTCACTTTAATAAAGAAAATCTTATTGTAGCTACATGAGCCAAACACATAATGAAGAACTTAAATGCACAGAAGTGATTTGGGCCGTATCACCATAATTGGAAACTGGGGCGGGGGCATCTAATCACCCAGATATTTTAGTCAAATGATACCAAACATTAGCATATTTCAGAGGTGCAAATGACTAACTTCTATTTTCATCTGAATGGTGTCACATCGGTTAATCTCAGTGGCTGAATAATATAGAGCCCTCAGACCTCAAGAGTGACTAGCTTTTCAGATCCCACCAACCTTATTCCCTAGAATATTTCCACATTGTTCAGCTCTCCAGAGTGCTAACCCTCTTGTTTACAGAGGCAAATTTCCCCAGGATAGATTTTCTTTTTTCCCCCGCTCATATTTGCCAAGTTACTCCTTCATATCCGCAAAATATTCTTTTTCTTCAACTAAGAAATAAACTTGTTAAATAAGAAAAAGTTACTAAGCATCTGTCTAAGGATCATTTTTACATATGAAAGCGTACTTACCAGGCCTGGAAACATAGATGGGTTGAAAATATTCTGAAATACAAAGATGTTTTCATGATAAAGTACTATGCTTAGATGTGAAAGTCAGGTTCGGTCTATTTTTAAACACTTATTATTAATACAAATTTGAGCTGGCTTACATTTAAGATACATATGAGATGTGGTGAGATGATAAATATAAAAATTTCAATCTCAAAAACAAATGGATGTGGATTCATTTTAATTAATGAAGAAGAATTCATAGAAAAATAGCCAGAGGAAAGCTAGAAATGATCTTATTTTCAAACTTTTAAATCAGGAAATCTTAAAAAAATCCACCCAAAGCATGCATCAGCCCATGGTATTTTCTGGCAACTTTAGTCCAAATCGGTTGGGCCTATAAGATAATGTTATTCATGAATACTCTTTGAATTCCTGTTTATCTATCCAAAGCTTTCTCATAAATCCTCTAAGGAAGATTATCTTTTGTTACATCCTCCTATTTTTCCCTCAGGAAGCTGAGAGGCAGCTTTACCACTCTGTCCCTCCAGGCTCCCACCTTGAGGCATATTCACTCTATACCTTCATTAGTCTTCCAAACATTATTTCCTAAGACAACTAGGGTTGTAAGTCTAGCTCTGTGTATAGCAATCATGTGGGGACATTCAGGGAATGTCCCCTGAACTCAGGAGTACTTAAGCTCTTGTAAGGACGGGCTAGTGAGAGAGTGGAATGGTACTATAGGCCCAAGATACACACAGTGTTGAGAGAACAAGCAAGGCTGGGGTGAGGACCGGGAGGGATGCAACGGGCGGAGGCTCCCAGGCCCTCGCCTGAAACGGCGGCAGCAGTAGCACACCTCTGCCTCGAGAAAATGATGGCTGAGAGTATGAGAGTATAGTAGGATGGTTCTGGCCCCAACCCGTGAGAAATCACATGGAAAAAAATCCCATTACAGAGAATTTTAAATTGAAAGCATATCTTACCCATGTTCTCAACACAATTTGCAGTTTTTAGTCCTGAAACATAAAGACAAAGCTTTATTAGTTAGACACAATCTACCCTAGTAAAGATTTCAAACTGGTCTGTGGCTATTAGTAATTGACCTATCAGCTTCTAGGTTATCAGGCCCATAACTTAGTGGGATGCAAAATGCAGAACAATTACATTTTTGTATTCATAGTGCAGTCATCAAACAGCAGTATGATCTTTGATAAAACATCTAAAGTTTCTGGAATTCAGCCTCCTTATCTGGGTCTTCTAGTGGGAGATTGCTTCAAATGACCTCCAAAGGCCCATCCAAAGCTAAAGTTAGGAGAAAATTTATGTATCCGTTCATTTAATCCTCTCTTCAGATACTAAATGTCCTCAACAGCAAACCCATTCCTTTACTGACAATTCCTATCCACTGGAGGAAAAGAATTTCAAACAAAGCTTCATGATCCTTGAATATATGAACAAAGATCTTTCATGCATCTGGAGAAATTGATCTGTATGTAAGGAGATCCATGGTTTTGGAGAACAGGAACATGGCATCTAACTATATGTTCATAGGCTCCCAGGGTCTTCTTACTAGTGAAACCCTAGAAAAAACGATCAGTGCAGCAGCAGTTCCCCTGAGACCTGACATAAAGGGAAATCTGCTAGCCTGCCTAGCAGGAGTTAAGGCAAGGAGGTCAGAGAGTGGGTGTTTAGATTTCGTGCCAGAATGAGCCATAGAGGGTTTCCCAGAATGCCACAGGAGGCCTAGATGTCCTATTGTCTCTTCTCCATGGCTGGTTAACTCACTGATCTGATCAGTTCAGTTTTCTGAAACTAAATCTCTTCATCAAAGATGGGGAACATTCCTGAGAGGACTGTGGAGTTTGAGCCAAGAGGCCAGGTGACTTGGTCCAGTTTCTACTGGTCCAGGAGCTGGTACAGATCTGTTAGAATCTTATAATACCCAAAGGCTAAACTCAGGTGTTTGGCTAGACCAGACATTTAAAAAACAGTTCTAGAGACAATTAAAAAATGTTGCCTCAGCAGGAGATGAGTGGGTGGGTGCCAGAGGGCTTACCCAGAGGCCTTAGTTGAGGGGAAGAGGAAGGTGAGGAGAGGTGGGAATGAGAAAGCTGCAGGTACAATGGATTCACCCTGTGGACTAGACAGTGGGGGATTTTAAAAGCTTTCATCTTTTATCTGTAACACAAATTAGAACATTTTTCTCAAAGTGTAGACTTCCAATCACACACTTCAGAATCACCTGAGTACTTACTGAAATTGAAAACTCCAGGATTCTAATCAGGACTATTGACATAGAACTTCTGGGGGTAATACCTTGTAAACTGCATTTTAAATGAGCACTCCCAAGTGATTTTTATGCATAAAAATTTCTGAGCGCCTCCTCAGTAGTAAAGGATGGGTATCTTATTTATCCATATGTATTTTGTTGAAATTTTTGATAACTGATTTTTTTATAAAGTTTAAGGCATACAGGATGATGGTTTGTTTTACATATATTGTGAAATGATTACCACAATAGGTTCAGCTAACACCCCAGGATGGATATCTTTTAATGTTTAACACAATTCTATTTATTCAACACTTCATTTGTCCTCCCTATTTGACTTTTGATATAATTTTTCATTAGTGTTTTCAGCAGCAGAGAAATAACCAAACTATTTTGGGCTTCTAAAGAACTAACAGGGTTAAAAATGGGTAAAAGATTAACCCAGAAATAACACGAGAAGACACAAATATTTTATATAGGAATAATAAAGGGACTACAACCACAAATTCAACAGGTCTGAAAAGACATGAGATACTGTCAATAAATTTGAGACATAAGGACAATTGACAAATTCCTAGAAAGATATATAAAAAATAATTGAAGAATAAATAGAAAAATCAAATGTTATTATAACTATTAAGTAGTTTAAGTTTTTTCCACACACAAAAAATACCAGGATAATTTGGTTATTACATAATACTAAAGAGAAGGGAGCTACACAGAGAACCCCTGAGATCATCAAAGTGAGGCAGGAGACAGCCCTGGAGAACTCTGAGACTGCTACTGGTGAGTGTCTGGCACCCTGGTTGCCAGGAAACGCCTTTTAGCACTTTGGTAGAATGAATAGCAAACCAAGACAGAGAGGAGTGGGGAGAGGCCTCTCACCCACTAAGTCAGCCATCCTGAGCCTGGCCCAAATATGTTGCCAGGTGTTCCAACATCACAAGAAACACCATGTTAGCTTGGGAGGAAGGAAGTCCTTGAAATTCTATGTAGCGTTTCCACTATTCAGGAAAGAAAGCCTTTGAAAGTGTGCTTTGGTCCCAAGGACTGAAAGGTGGGAGAAGGTCCACTGTGCCCAAGGAAGAAGCCCATAAAATACCACTTTGGTTCATTGCCTACCTGTGGGCACTATCTGTTTTACTAGGTAGTTCCTAATGTTTAAAGAAAGAGCCCCTAAATAACTTTGGGTAACAACCCCAACTTTAATGAACTGCCTCCTGTCAGGTAACTGTTTTAGAATAAGATGAACACATGGAGTCTGAAACGAGATAAGAATTTGGGCTAACAGACTCCCACACATACTTAAGTTTGGGTTGTCACATCCCCCCTGCCCCCCGGAAAGCTGGCACCACCTTTACCTGCCAGTCAATATGTAACTTCTTCACCCCCATCCCGCCAACTATGTAAGTCCTCAGAACAAAGGGCTCCTGTTGGCTCTCTGGCCCCCCAGCCTCTGGCCCCGCAGCCTTCTGCAGCCCTCGCTTTCACTGCCTTACTTTACCCTGAACCTGTGCCTTTCATCCCCCTCAGCCGGGCCCATTCTCTTCCAGGGGAACAGATCACTAATAAAACCTAGTTTGCTGGTCTTTAATTCTCTACATGCATTGGCAAGAAAAACCAGGTCTTCCCATTAACAAACGGATTTCCCTTGAGAATTCAGCAAAGCCATGATCAACTTACATGTTTGAGGAAATGACCAAAGGCCAGGGAAAAAACCCACAGGATCAGGAACAGTACCTATTTCCATAAAACACACTGGAACTTATAAGTGGTCATTTTACCAGGAGCTCTACAGTAAGAAGCCTGAAAAGCAGTCTAGACCATAGTAAATTAAGCCCTCCCAGGAGTTCCCTATTTCCTTCAGATCCCCCCAAATTACTGATGTCTGTGACCTAACTCATGGCTGACTGGAATCTCTTGTAACAAGACTACAGCAGTATTTGTCGGCCACTGGGCTTTTGGACACAAGGACTTCCTCCCTTTGTAGAGCTGCTACTGCCAGACTGTTATAGGGCTTATTTGAGACAGAATTTCTCACTAAATAAAAATCATAACTCTCTAACTCAAAACCTTAACAGGCAATGGATTCTCTCTGGATTCCGATAAGAGAGGAAAAACTCCCAAAAGATCTACTGTCACACAAAAATTTTACCTCCAATTACCCCAGGTCCAAGCCTGGCTCCTAAAGGCCTACGCCACTTTCAGGAGCAGGCGGCTGTCCATCTCTTAGACCTGCAGTTTCCAAACAGTAGCGGAGGTGTCCCTCAATGCTATAGCAAATTCACAGGGGTACCGAGGACACTTTAAAATTTCAAGACAAATATAATGCACTAGATAATGGCCATTTCTCTTAAAAGCACACTTGTCACATTCTTGAGGCCGCATGTTGTTATGTTGGAAGCATTTGGGAATATATCAGAATGTAAAACAGTCTGATGGTCTTTTGACTGATGGTCTTTCTAAAACGGTGTTTGTTTATTGTGTGTGTGTCTGTGTGTGTTTTCTGTATTTCATCAGGTATTGGTAAATAAATAGTTCACAGTCTCCCAAGAAAAAAATAAAATAAATAAAATAAAATAAAATAAAATTTTAAGACAAACAACAGCCATAGTTGATGTCTGTCAGATACCGCGTGAACCACTAGCTCAATGTAGCATGCAGTTGCAAAGGTATGTTATATTATGTTTGATGATATCATACATTTGCAAAGCTAGGTTTTCAGCAATTGTGATAAATCAAATATATGTGAAAATCAATGTGGATCAGGAAATAAGGTCACGTCTAATCTAATTCCAAGGTTCAAGAAGCTGCACACTGCCCAATAGTCACATACATAGTACTTCTTAAAAAGTTTCTGTGTATTATTTTTTCAAACAGCTACTAAGGTGTTAGGAAATAAAGGCGTACTGAGTTGGTTGAGTTTACCTAATAAGTGGGATTTGGGGGTATTTCTTTAAGCCTAGGGACAGTGAAAAAAATTATAACACTAAGAAAAGGACCATGAACTGAGAAAGTCTGAAAACCTGTGCATTAGACATTACAAAAGCCTTGCCTACTCTGTTACCCAAACTCCTGGCTTAGTGGGGGCCTTCCCTACAAGACTTCACACCTGAAAGGAGAGCCAGTTCAACAAAACAGCCTAACCCCTGGTTGGCAAATGCAATAGAAAGCTGCATCCATTCATTGTAATGATGGTAACTTGTTCATTGCCTTGGATGCTATGTATGAAGAGCTGTACTTCAAATGATGATCCTCTCAAAGAGCACATCTGTTTCTGTACACTCATGGGCCAACACTTCTGCCCAAGCGGTATGATCAGGTCACTGGGACACCCAGAACTGGATTCCTAAAGAAAAACCCTTTCTATGGAAATAAATGCAGCAACTACAACTCATGAAATCAATCTTTATGTTACACACATACATGCTCACATGAAGTGACTGCACCTAAAAAAAAGCCTCTGGAGACCAACAAAGCTAATCAAGCATGTGTAGCCTCTATTACAGCTTCTGACTCTATCATCTACCACAGCAAGGAAATACTATAAAGCTCTAGGACTTTAAATGAAAATTCTACCAGCCTCCCCAGTGAAGATCTCTGCAGGACTGACTGGTCTGGCTGTCTTCCACTATTTACAATTTGTCTGCAGTCATGCTAACCTCTGCTTTGATTGAGTTCCCAAACACTAAGGAATTAGGGGTTGGAGAATGAGGGGAATTGGGGGAAGAATATATTCCTCTCCTT